GGACTAAAAAGGGGCTTTTTCCTATAGTAGAGGGACCAAAAAGGGTATTTAACCAAAAAAAAATAATAATAATAAGAGAACTCAATCAAACCGCTTACTACAATCAAAACGGAACTTAAAAACAATGTTTCTTTTGGCCAAGATACAATCATCAAAATTCTATTAAAAAAAATTACATTTAAAATTCTATAAAAAGATCATTTTCAAAAAATATATTTTTCTTTAACTTTAAGATTTGAATAATACGTGATATTACCGGCCTCTTCCCAGTCCTACTGGCTGAGTGTTTGTCTTCAAACACTCGAGTCATGGGTTCTGGGTTCGAAGGTCCGGTGAGCAGAGCAGAATAATACGTGATATTAAATATGTACATCTATAAAAAAAAAACAAACAAACAAAAGAAGGGAAACTAATTAGCTACCCAGTTAAGATGCAAAAACAGAGAAGTACACAAAAATTTTTATATACGAATTCCTAAAAATGTTACCTGTAGCAGTCTTGCTTAATGCATGGGAGAGATGAGTGTTTTAACGTCAGGGATCGATAATCCTGAAAGAGCTGTTCTGCTTCCGATGCAGAGTAAAAAAGGATAGAAGGAGGATTGAGAGATGGAATGAGAGACGTGGTTATTTATTTATTTTAATTTTTGACCAATTAAACAATGTTAGATAAGTCGATGGAAAACGACTTGCCGTGTCGATTGAGTCCAATCTTTTCATACTAGCCTTTAATTTCCAAAAAGATAGCTGGCCGCAGGGCGGTCCTCAGTTGTGGTTACGACCAACGATACAGACTTTTAAAATATTATTTTTAGAGATAAATAACAATTAAAATATTTTATTAATTAAAATATCTAGATTAATAATAATTTTTTTTTTATCTTACATACTTAGAGTATAGGATAAAGATACAATAAATATATATTTTTTATAATTAATTTTTATTAAAAGTATAAATATCAATTTTAATTTAATCAATTAATTAAAATTACTTATGTGTTAATAATTTTAAAATATATATTATTTTTTATAATTTTTAATATAAATTAATTTAAAAAAATATATTTATTACATTTTTAATCTATATTTTTAAAATATAATTTAGATAAATTCATAATAAAAAATTTAAACTATTTTTTAAAAATTAATATACAAAATAATTTATTAAAAATATTAAATCAATATCATAAAAAATCTTCATTTATTTAAACAAATTAAAATTATTTATATATATTAATTAAAAAAATTTTCATAAGATTCAAATACGTTATTCATTTTTTTTTTACGAGGGTAATGGTTAGAAAGTTAGTATTAGTTATTAACAACTAGTTCTTAAAGTGGGTGAACATTTCACCCTCTCAAATGAGGCGCGCGGCCATCAAGTTATTTTTTGATGGAATTCACGACGGTTATGGAACTCAAAATTCCGACTATTTCACTCAAACACTTAAAATTTAAAGTCAAATAATTGGGCCTAAAGTCTCGATTCAATACGCTATTCACTTATTCACAAAAAAGCAAACGATCCGACAAAACTTCGTGCCATTGAGACGTAGCCGGCTGTTCCTTCACATTTAAAATAATAAAATATCTTAAGTTTTATTTTGAGCAACATCTCATGGATTGTTGACTGGTTCCTTAAAGACGACACGTAGTGGTATAAATATATTGCTGAATTGTTGACTGGTTCCTTTAAGTTCGTTGTGAAAATTTCTTCTGTTCACTTTTTAATATTTTATTTTTATCAAGAGTTTCATTAAAATTTTTTTAATTTATATTTTAAAAATATAATAAAAATATATTTTTATTATAAATTTATATTAAAATAAAATTAATTTTAATTAATTATTTATTTAATATTAATATAAAAATTAATATTAATTTTTATATTTATATATTTATTAAAAAATATTTTTAACTGATACTTCTAAAGTAAAAGTTAAAAATATATAATAACAAATTATGTATTGTAAAACCTGTTAAAAAATGGAGAATAAATAACGTAATTTCTTTTTTATTATTCTCTCCAAAAATTAAATAATATATAAAGGTTTAACTCATTGATACCCTATTAGAGTTCTATTTAAAAAGAAAGTTATCTCTCTATTTCATTTATATGCTCTTGTGTACAAACTAAGAGCATCATCACAATTATTATTAGTTTATATAAATTCATATTTTAAATATTTAATTCTAAAGTAAAACACTTAACAAATTACTTTTTTTGTGTGCATATATTTAAACAAAATTTCTTTAAAAGTTATATTAATATTATTTTTATTTAAATAAAAAAATGAATTAATAAAAAAAGGCTTACACAACAGTAGCTGGGGAATTGAAAAGTTGAATTATCATGCTTTTAAATTGATTTTAAAAAGAAAAAAAGGGAATAATCTCTATTTAAAAAGATATAAAAAGAAAACACTTTTCTAAAATTTTAAAATTCTAACATGAGGTCAATGAAGTAAACTTTAATCTATTGTTTTATTTCTAAAAAGAACAATAAAAAATAAATCACACTACTAAATTTCTTATCTTCAGCGACATGCTCATGTTGCTGAAAGTTGTTCTCATGTTGTTAAAGCTTCTTCAACAATATAACTCTAGTTGCTAAAAGCTTTGTTGGAGAAACTTTGGTGGGTGATACATTACCAACAAGAATTTTGTTGGTAATGTATAGGCAACATAAGGCATGTTGTTGAAAATATAGTTTTAGCAATAAGCCTCATGTTGCTAAAAATTTTGCCAAATTTTGTTGGAATCCGACCAATAATTCGATGATTTTAGCAAATGGCTTTTGTTGCTGAAAAGTCTTGCCAACTTCTAGTGATCATCTTCGGTGAGGTCCTTGGGTTAGTTTCACCAACATAAGTTATGTTGTTGAAAATATAATTTCAGCAACATGGCTTTTGTTGCTAAAAGTTTGAGAGAGGCGCAGGCCTTTATTTTTTAGTAACATATACTTTGTTGCTAGTTGAATGGTTTCACCAACATGGTTCAAGTTGGTAAAACCATAATTTCAGCGACATGGTTTATGTTGCTAAAAGTTTGTGAAGGTGTGGGTCCTTGATTTTCAACAGCATAGCTGTTGTTGCTGATTGAATGGTTTCACCAACATGGTTCAAGTTGGCAAAACCATAATTTCAGCGACATGGTTTATGTTGTTAAAAGTTTGTGAGGGTGTGGGTCCTTGATTTTCAACAACATATCTATTGTTGTTGATTTTCAATTTTCAACAAGAAGAACCATATTGGTGATAATAGCCATTATCAGCAACTTGTTCCCGTTGCTCATAATGGGGTGGAATAGTATACTCCTTATTTTCAGCAACATAATTCTTGTTATTGATTTTTATTCCAATTATCTAAACACATTTTTTTTCACTTTTATAATAATCAATATATTACATTAATTTTATAGTAATAGCATTAAATTTAAAAATATTACATCAAATTTTAAATATAAATTTTTCTCTTTTTATAATTATCAAATATTAAATATCTTAATATCTCAAATACAATATAATTAATTATATATAAGAAA